GCTTGAACTGGAGGAGAGACATGATGAGAGATAGTGCAATCAAGGACCTATCAAGAAGGTATGAGGCGGGACCATACAAAGAGGCACATATATTCTTACCTTTGACCACCACTCAGCTCCGTAAGACTTTGCTTCCAAATAGAACCAAGTTGGACTTTCACCTCAAGGCCAGCGCTGATATTACCCCGTTCAACATATTGCAATTTAGCATTGTTTCCGGGTAGAAGATCTCCAAAGATTTCTCCAAAGTCTCTGGGATTCGGATGAGTATTATGAAAAAGACACAAAATCTTTGGATGACTGACTTGCTGACTTTCGTCCATGTAGTCTCCAATGCCTCGAGTTTCAGCACATCCAATTGCTCAATGGTTCCCTCTATTTTCGTCTTGTCACCAAGGACGATTTGAAGATTCTTTTTGAGGTCGGCTTCCTTTTTCTCGACCCTATCAAGATTGAGTTACGAGATACTCTGTGATATAACGGAAATCTTACGTGTCGATCATGGCCATAACCTTGGGGTTGATCTTCTTTTTCATGCCCTTCTGGAGCTCCTCGAGTTCTTTCGCCTTCTCTTTCAATTGGGGGATATCCACCCCAGTATAGTCGTATAGAGTACCTGGCTTGCCGAAATGCCTAATCTGGATGAGATACTGCTATGTTGTCAATATCAAACTTACTTCTTTTCCTCTTGAATCCAAGGATGTGCCTTCTCGAGGGCGGCTACGTGAGCCTGTGAGCTGGCTTTCTCTTTCTGAGTGGTTTGAATATCATGCTCGGCCTTCTTGACTGTCACTTCGGCGTCGGTAATCTCTTCTTTGATACGTGCAATCGCTGCATCTAGGCCTTTTACTTCCTCGTCAAACCGAGTCAAAGCAGCCAGTTCTGCTTGAAGTTTCGAGGATGCCTCCTCGTAGTGTTTCTAGAAAGCAATAGGGTTAGTTCCATCTATATTTCCTCTTAATGAACGACTGACCTTGGTGTTGTCCAACATCTTGGTCAGTTCAGCTAGCTCAGCCTGATGGGATGCTACAGCCTCTCGCGCTTCCGCTACTGATGATTTGGATGCCTCAATATCGGCATGCATTTGATCTGAAAGGCAATAAGCATATAACCCCTGTAAAGGGTAATGACGAACCCAGTTCCATTTGACCGGTTTGGGATGCTCGTTGGTGTTCTTTTAGTTGGATGCTAAGAGCATGGAGTTCATTTTTCTGCTGAGCAATTTCGGCCTGGAAGTGGTTAGTCTGACTAGCACTAGTCGTATATCATATATACCTTGAGTTGCTTAAGCTTTCCATCCTTGTTAGTTTTGAACTCATTCATATCCTTCTCCAACTTCTTGCATTCTGCTTCTGCTTCTTTCTGTCGCCCCTTGGCAGCGACAGCTGCTTCCCTTAGCCCCTTTAATCGCTGATCTAGGTCTTTAATGCTGTTTTCGATCTAGAATATGTGAGTAAGGGTTAGGTAAGGTAGAGGTTCGTCATACCATAGCGGCGCTACCCCCGCTAATTTGTTGCTCAAGAAGGACAATTTCGTGGGTTTTGATATCGACTTCTCGCTTTGTTGTGTTCCATGCGTTCTTGGTAGCAAGGTTGCTTTGCTCTTCTTGCTGGAGACTCTGATATAAAGACATAGCCTTCGCCAAGGATCGTTCAACCTCTTTGAGTTCCTGAACCTTGATAAGAAGACCTGAGCTGGAGGGAGCACTGCCGCCACTGATAGTGCCAGATGGGTCATAGACATCTCCGTTGATGGTCACTGATTTGAGCTGAATCTGGGGATGGAAAGTAACGGCCTTGGCTGTCTCCGAATTGTCACAAATCAGAACGTCTCCGAAGACATATGCCATGGCATTTGAGACTTCTTGCTCATAACCGACCAGCTCCAGTGCCAAGCGAGCCTTCCCATTACCGACCTTCGTGGCAGTAGATAGTTTCTAAAGATAATCACGTATCAGCAATACTCTGGATTTCATAATAAAGACCAACCTGGGCAGAAGCAGTGAAAGCCTTTATTTTATTGAGGGGTATGAGTGTAACTCTTTTCTTCAGGCCACCCCCGTCAAGGAGTTGACTTCCGACGCGTTCATCTTCTACAACAACATTGTACAGCCTCCCACCTGCTGCTATTTCCAGCGCAGTGGACTTGGGGTAATTGTCGGGGCCGATACTGATAAGATTAGCGACCAAGCCCTTTACTTTTCTCCGGTCGAAGTTGGGAACAGGATCCGTGTAGGAGAAATCTAGATTTGATAGACGTTGCTTAAGAGAGTCTCGTTTCTAGAGTGGATACCATCAGGAACTGTAGCATGTCGATACCTGAAAACTTGCCTCTGTCAATGAACGCACTTCATCCCTGGCATTCTTAAGCGCAGATACGAATGAAGACTCTTTTTCGTCACTCCAACCCATTGCAGCTAGATTGCGCTTCAACTTCTCGAGCTCTTGTTTCTTTTTTTCCAGTGCCCTAGAACCGTCTCCAGCTTCCTTTTCAACTTTCTTCCATTTCTCTTGCGCTTCTTTCAACTCTTTCTCTACTATCGAGCCTTGCCTATGAGCTTGCTCCTCTTCGGTCTGTGCTTGTACGACTCGAGCTTTGGCTTCCGCCAATTGACCCAAGTAACCACCGCCCGAAGTATTCGCCGAGTCTGCTAATCCTGTTTGCAAGGTTTGCAAGAGCTCCTGTTTACTATTGAATCTTTGCTGGAATGCCTCATGTTGGGTCTTGATCTGCGCATACGTCGCGCTGAGCTGTTCCACTTCCTTTATCTTGTCTTCAAGAGAGGCTTTGAGCTCTTCCCTATTGGCTTTCAAGGTAGCTGCCCGATTCTCCTCATCACGAATAGAGGCCTGCTTGAGTTCTATTTGCGTTTCTAGGCTGACCAGCTTCTTTTCGAATTCTGCGACTCGAGCCTCTAATTTTTGAAATTGACCACCTTTG